TGTTTCAAAGGAGAAGCGTTCCAACTTTGACATTGATCATTTGCAAAGTAACACAGTGATCTGGCCTTGAACTGAGCTACTTTGCTTTCAGAATGGAGGCTGGAACAGCTCCGTTTAACCACGGGAACTCTTCCAGTGTACTCAGAATGACCCGTTTAAAGAATAGCACGGATGTTCTGAGGTTGAAATATTTTGACATCAGAAAAAAGGTTCATAATTCACATATAAGGAACGGTTGCTGGAATTGGGTATGTCTAGTTTAACAAAGAGAAGGACAAGGGGGGACATGATAGCAGTGTTCCAATATCTCAGGGGCTGCCCCAAAGAAGAGGGAGTCAAGCTATTTTCCAAGGCACCTGAAGGCAGGACAAGAAGCAACGGATGGAAACTAATCAGAGAGAGAGAAGCAACCTAGAACTAAAGAGAAACTTCCTGACAGTGAGAACAATTAACCAGTGGAACAACCTGCCTCCAGAAGCGGTGAATGCACCAACACTGGAGGTTTTTAAGAAGAAACTGGACAGCCATTTGTCCAAAATGGTATAGGCTTTCCTGCCTGAGAAGGGGTTTGGACAAGATGACCTCCAAGGTCCCTTCCAACATCATGATGATGGTGATGATGATGTCACCTCTGAGAACCAGGAGTCTTTCCCACATACAATTACTCACTTCTGCTAAATAGTCTCCTATGCAATGATCTGTGGTCAGTGAGATCAAACGTTCTTTTATTGACCTCAGTTTCATTCTATGTATTTGAAATTTCAGTTATCCAACAACCATCTGCAGAAGCTCAGATAAGATCACTTGGTCCATGCATTAATTGCGAGTGAGGAATACATCCACAAACCAGGTGGCTGAGACAAGGAAGGAGTGTCCATCTCCATATAAGTGATGTCCAGGTGTAGTGTCATGTGGGGATGACTCTGAGAAATGGAGGAAGAGATGCTGCCTGTGGAATAATCAGAAGGCACAGACCACAACACCAAACAGACAGAGAAAGAGACCATCCTAACTTAGTCTGTAAAGAAGATGGCGAGAGATTTGTAACTATCAGACTTACACTGAGAGAATTGAAGAAGCTTTTTGGATGAGGAGCAAAACGTCTTCAAAGAAAAACAAGAATGTCCAGTTGCCTCTTGAAAAAGCACCTTTGGGACTACTATGATCTGGATGAATGAGTATCTCCATAGTCAATCGGACGTACAAGATTCTGTTAATGTAGCCTTATAGTAAAATTGAATTAGCTCATCTGGTTGTCTTTCTCTCTGATCTACCTGGGACGGCTGATATCAGCTCTCTTTGACATTCATTAGAATTTGGAATGCTGCCTTGAACATTTTGGCAAGAAAGGGCCAAAAACTACCCAGAACAAGAAAAAAGATGAGTCATTGAATTTTTTTTCTTTAATTAAATTAAGCTCATTAGAGTTTGTCCTTCAGTTTATTCCCCCTTCTCCCCCTCTAAAACAAACAAACAAAAAAATCTGGGTAGGCAAATGATTTAATGAAGTTCTGCCTTTGTTGTATTCAGCAGACACACTGACCACGAACCACCGCACATTGGGGAGAAATTTGTCAGAGACCACAAGACACATTTAGTATCTTAGAGCCCTCCTGGCATCCATTTTAAAGCAGCATCTCACTCTCTTCTTGTAACTTCCAGAGAAAGACCCCATGAAGTGTTAAAAGTGAGTTTTCTAAGAGCCTTCTATAAATCAAGTTCTACCCATGACATCCACGGATGTAGAGAACAGTTTGACCTTTCAGAAACTATTAGAAGTCATGTAGAAATGGGTTTCTATGCAATTTCAGATCCTCTGTGCTGGAAAAGAATTGCTTTTATTTATTTATTTTTAAAGAAGTTTAAGTATTCTCCATTCCTATAACTCAATTGAATTTATGTCTTGGTCAGAGGTAAGACAAATCCATTTGTATTTCCCCCAAGGGGAGGGGGGAGAGAAATAAAATATCTGACCTTAAAAAGTAAGCAAAATATTTGTTCCATAGCTCTAGAGTAGAATAATTTCTTTTTTTCTTTTTTAAGAGAGAGAGCTTTTCAATGAAGCAGCCATATTGATGGCAGCCATTTTGCTTTCTCTTGAGATGAACTGCTGTCTATTGGCTCAGCTTTCAGTGGGGCATTCCTTTACATCAAATGTCTGCAGTGTTTTGCTAGGCAATGACCAAAAATAACTCTTTGGAGGAAGGTGGTAGCAAAATCATTGGGACCACATCATGTGAGGCCTCCTATTATAATTGTCAAAAGACGAGAATATTTGTAGCTCAGGATTGAGTTGTGGGGTCCTTGAGGCTCTCTGAGGATGGTTGCTTCCTTCCAGATGTTTCATTTTCCAGCTAGGTAATGTCATCAGTGCTGGAAAGGAGTAGAGTTTGCTCTTATATACTAGTTGTCATGGTTCCAACAGATGAAACTCTCCAAAGAACTTTGAGGCATTGTTTACCTTAAAGAATCTTTATTCAAGTTGTATGGCACTGGCACATACATGGTCAAAGCCAAAATCTGAATTCTCCTCCCCTAAACACATAATATCAAAGTACCATTCCCTCCTCTAATTAACAGTTATAAATCCGTAAGATTATCTGGGACACTACACATCCTCTTCATGACCTGTTTTCCTTGTTACTTTCTGGGAGGAGGGGGCTTCGTGGTATCCGAAGCAGAACATCCAGATTCAGCCAGAGTTTCATTCCATACAGCATTAACCTTGCGAACTCTCAAGCTTCCTCCTTCCATTATATATTCAAGATGGACAATATTTAATATTTATTTGCTACGTATATGTAGGGATGTGGGTCTATACATATGTTGTTCATAGTATGTTTAGGTGTGTGTCATGTATATGTTTCACTGTGAGAATTTCAAATTTCAACTAAATTTCATTTTTGATATGTGCCATTGTGCCCACAGTATAAAAATGACAATAAAGGTTATCTTATTTTATCTTATCTTAAATCACATTCTCCAATTAATTTGAAAGGCAGACCTTCCCTCCAGTTCTTTAATCCGCCATTCCTTATCATCTCTTATTTCAAACAGCCTTGAAAAAACACTCTACTACGAGGTTGTTATGTCTAACTTATTCCCATACACATTCTTCCTTCTCCCCCACCCCCAGCATCATCTAATTCTAACTCTAAAAGTAACACACAAGTTAAAGGGAAAATGGCTGCATTTTTATATATTGTCAAAGCAAGAACATCCGATGTTAGCAGCATTGACACTAGTGGCTTGACCTGTCAGTGTTGGTGGGAGGAATTTCACTGCTCAAACAACAGCCTAATCAAGAAATCATCAGGGTATAAGGCAGGAGACCTTATAACATCCCAGACTAATGGTTGCCCAAGCCCTTCTTAAAAACCTCCAATGACGGAGCACCCAAAATGTTGATCTGTTGGAATTGTCCAGAGAAATGTGTCTTAGCTGATATGTTCTACTCTTCTCCAGAACTCCTCAGATAGTTTAAGGAGTAAACATTAAAAAATCACATTATTTCACTTTAGATGTTTGTTTCCTCCCACAGTTGATTTGGTGCCCAGCAGAAGTAAACTTTTGCAGAAAAGATTTTTTTTTTTTCCTTCCAGGGAAAATGTGTAACTTATTTCTCAATTATTCCTCAAGATTACAGCGTTAAATATTTGTCGCAACTGTCAGTGAGACATACCCCACCCCATCTCAAATAAATCTTGTTGAATTCCCTTTACAGAATATTTGACACACCTCTCTCTCCCCATCTCCCACCCCACCCACCCCAAGTGCCCCACTTGCTTTTCTTGGCAAGCAAAATTCAAACACAACTTTATTTCAAACACAAAATGTTTTGAGATCACCATGGCCCTTTGAAGTTGAGCTGAGCTCCGAAGAAAAGTGATGGGCTCAGGTTGAAATAAAATGCTTCAGCTGTTTTGAGATGTGTTCCGGTGGAAGCCAGCCAACTCAGTTGTTCCAAAGTGACATTTTGATGGGGCTGTTTTGTTCTGAGCTTGAAATAAGATGCAGTTCTTATTTCATGCACGCTCCTAATGATTGGAGGAAGTTTCCTTGGGTTTGTCCTTTAATCATGGGATAATTTATCATGTCTGGTCATCAGGACTGTGTCCTGATGGAAGGGAGAGATGGCCTGCTTGTTTCGGTCTGCTATGTCCATACATTGGGAATCAAGTACAGGTAATTCTTGACTCATGACCATAATTGAGCCGAAGGTTTCTGTTGCTAAGTGACACATTTGTTACGTGAGTCTTGCCCCATTTTACGACCTTTCTTGCCACAGTTGTTAAGTGAATCACTACAGTCGCTCAGTTAGTATCATGGATGTCAAGTGAATCTGGCTTCCCCATTGACTTTGCTTGTCGGAAGGTCACAAAAGTGGAGTACATGACCCTGGAAACTACAACCGCCATAATTATGAGTTAGTTGCCAACTGTCTGAATTTTGATCACATGACCATGGGGATGCTGCAAGAGTCATAAGTGTGAAAAATGATCATGAGTCACTTTGTTCAGTCCCGTTGTAACTTAGAACGGTCACTAAACAAACTGTTGTTAGTCTAGGCCAGGGGTAGGCAACCTTGGCTCTTTTATGACTCGTGGACTTCAACTCCCAGAATTCCTGAGCCAGCCACGCTGAGGGGAAAGGGAGAGGTTTCCAAGCTGAGCCAGGCTGGCTCAGGAATTCTGGGAGTTGAAGTCCACGAGTCATAAAAGAGCCAAGGTTGCCTACCCCTGGTCTAAGACTACCTGTTTGGGGAGGCCTTGGAGGGAGGGGGTGAACTAGAGGGAGATAACCCCCTCTGTTTGGTAGCAAAGCCTTCCATTTTCGTGCAATTTGTCTAGTCTGCCTGCGTGCATGCACTCGTGTGAGGGAGAGACTGAGTGTGAATGAGCAGAACGCTTTAGCGACATGAAATAATGTGCCTTGAAGAGTTGACTTGCAAGCATTCACCTGTGTTCCTTTCCCTCCCCTCCCCCTATTATTTCTTGCAGTACAATGGTTCCCGTCCAAGGGAGGAATGGGAAATGTGGCACCCAACCCTGATAGCAGAAGCCCTCTTTGCCATTTCAAACATTTTAAGCTCCTTGCGTCTCATCTCCCTGTTTACAGCAAACTCTCACCTGGGACCCTTGCAGATCTCTCTGGGACGTATGCTGCTAGACATTCTCAAGTTCCTCTTCATTTACTGCCTGGTGCTGCTAGCTTTCGCCAATGGACTCAACCAGCTTTATTTCTATTATGAGACGAGTGCCTCCGAAGAACCCAACAATTGCAAAGGGATCCGTTGTGAGAAGCAAAACAATGCCTTTTCCACGTAAGGCTAACTCGCCTGGATTTCCTTGTTGCATACAGCCCTTGAATGTTCTCTCTCCCTCCCTCTCTCTCTTTCTCTCTCTGTCTCTCTCTGTATATCTCTGTCTGTTTCTGTCTCTGTCTCTGTCTCTCTCTCCCTCTCTCTCCCTCTCTCTCTCTCTCTCTCTCTCTCTCTCTCTCTCTCTCTCTCTCTCTCTCTCTCTCTCTCTCTCTCTCGTATAGTCCTGATATCTTGTCACAGCATCTGGAGTAGCAAAAAATGCCTTTTTTTGTTCATAGGTGAGTGTCGGTCTCAATTGTCATGATGTGAGTTATCTCAGACAAACATATTGAAAAGGGTAAAGTTGAACTCCAGCCTTTGACAATGACCAGACACCCAGGCATTTCTGTTATTCTGTTTTTTAAAAAAGCAGAGAACAGCAGAGGTGTTCTCAAAGAACTGACTGTCCTAAGCTGGGTTTCTGTAGGATATTCTCTTCACTGAGGCTAGATCCTTTAAAAAGAAGCATGCAAAAATATGACTGCAAAAATATGACTGCCATCCCTGCAGAATGGATGTGGAAATGCTCACAAGCTCAGAGAAAGTTGCCATTTAAGAAAAACGGCCTTTGTTTCTTTACTGGGGATCCTGTGGTGCTGGGTTTTTTTTTTTTCTAGCTCATTGTGTTTGTGTATGTTTCTTTTCAAACTACATTTCATCCTATTCCATTGAAAAGCAAGAGAGCTGCTAGATCAAAGTGAAGTACCTTGTGATCCAATAACGCCTTTCCAAAATGAAAAACGGGAAGTGTGCTCCTTCATCTATAAAAAATCAACAAAATCTTGCAAGTCTGAAAGTGCAAATCTACCATCATCCCTTTTTGAAGCCTGATAAGTTAGAGTCACTTTCTCTGCCACTATGCAGCTGTGGGCTATTCTGTTTCTTATCTGATTATTTCCTAGGCATCATCTCTTCCCCCATCTCTCATTGGCCTTTCCCAGATATCATAGAACATAGGTGCAGTGGCTCAATGGCTGAATGACCCTGGAGATGGTCTCGGCTCCAACCTCTGCATGGCTGGGGGACTCCCACCACTCTCCTCAGCTTCTGTCCCTCTAACAATTTGAAAGCATGTTCTATGCAGGTAGATAGATAGGTACCAGTTTGGTGTGGAGATGAGTTGGTGCTCTATGCAGGTAGTCAGATTCCTGATGGCTCTGAACCTTCCCACATGAGATGCCCATTTGTGAGGCTACTCTGGGAAGGAAGAGTTGTTTATCTTTCTCTTACATGTGTAAGCATGTCCTATAACAGGGCTGGTACATTGGCAAACCAAGCTACTATTCTGCAACAGCATTGTGGTCTCCTGGCTATTGTAATACCACCATACACTAATAATAATTATAGGTAGAGTCTGATAGGGTACAGTAGGGGATTGGGATGGGCTGGAGTGGAGTGGAATAGGGTAGAGTGGGGTGGGAAATGAAAATAAAGTTGTGCACTTAACCAGTGTAAGAATCGAAACCAGAGCTAGCAGCAATTGTGACTAAGCAAAACTCCATGATATCTTTGGACATTTCACTGGAAAAGTCAGCAAGTAACTTTAATAGGCTACCAACAACACCAATTCAAATGTGTTAGCATTCGAAGAATATTTGGGAGGAACCATGAAGAAAACATTACAAACAGAGCAACAGTGAAATGCATAAAAGAAACTGTAAAATTTAACACGAGTAAAGTACCGTAGCAGGACTCAACTTAAACCTATGGAGCAAGCTTTATATCACCTGTGATATCATTTCTTTCATAAGAAGAATAGTCCCCAAAATAAATTTCCTTACAAGTAGTCTGTAGAATTTGAGTCAAAAAGGAATGATATCAAGTATGTCTGATCTACTTGGTTAATTCCTTAAGAGAGGGTTATTAATAGGTTCTGTGAATCTATTAAAAGGAATTGGCAAAAGGTGTGCCATTGATTCAAGAGACATTGAAGGACAAGGCTGTACCATTCTGAATATGGCACATTTGCAAGTCTATCTTGGCAGAATAGCAATAGCAATAGCACTTAGACTTGTATACTGATTCACAGTGCTTTACAGCCTTCTCTAAGTGGTTTACAGAGTCAGCCTTTGGAACCCAACAACCTGGGTTCTCATTTTACCAACCTCAGAAGGATGGAAGGCTGAGTCAACCCTGAGCTGGTCAGGATCAAACTGTTGGCAATCAGCAGTGAGTTAGCCTGCAATGCTGTATTCTAACCACAGCACCACCACATCTCAGTGGTTAGAGTCTTACAGTGGTTAGAAGGTGAAATGTTAGTTGGGCAGGTAAAATGTATGTTGTTATCTTGGGATAAGGTCACTAAAATGGTAAGAAGCCAGGACAGAGACTTCAGGTAAGGTCCTAACATTAGTTGATAACATCTTTGGCTTGTTGATATCCTATAATAGAGGGTAAAATGCTGCAGCTCTTTAGTTCTGTTTCCAGATAGGTTATCCATGTAGCATTTTCTCTCTGTTTCTCTCCCCTGTGCATATGCATTCACACACACACACACACACACACACACACACAAACATTCTTAAACACAAGGACAAGTATTAAGGAAAGGAAAAGAAAGGAAAGGAAAGGAAGTAAATGGATGAAGAAGGAAAGGGAAAGGAAAGGAAGTAAATGGATGAAGAAGGGAAGGGAAGGAAAAAGGAAAGGAAAGGAAGTAAATGGATGAAGAAGGGAAGGAAAGGGAAGGAAAAAGGGAAGGAAAGGAAGTAAATGGATGAAGAAGGGAAGGAAAGGGAAAGAAAAGGAAAGGAAAGGAAGTAAATGGATGAAGAAGGGAAGGGAAGGGAAGGGAAGGAAGTAAATGGATGAAGAACGGAAGGAAAGGGAAGGGGAAAGGAAAGGAAGTAAATGGATGAAGAAGGGAAGGGAAGGAAAAAGGAAAGGGAAGAGAAGGGAAGGGAAGGAAGTAAATAGATGAAGAAGGGAAGGGAAGGAAAAAGGAAAGGAAGTAAATGGATGAAGAAGGGAAGGAAAGGGAAAGAAAAGGAAAGGAAAGGAAGTAAATGGATGAAGAAGGGAAGGGAAGGGGAAAGGAAAGGAAGTAAATGGATGAAGAAGGGAAGGGAAGGGAAGGGAAGGAAAAAGGAAAGGGAAGAGAAGAGAAGGGAAGGGAAGGAAGTAAATAGATGAAGAAGGGAAGGGAAGGAGAAAAGAAAGGAAAGGAAGTAAATGGATGAAGAAGGGAAGGAAAGGAAAGGAAGTAAATGGATGAAGAAGGGAAGGAAAGGAAAGGAAGTAAATGGATGAAGAAGGGAAGAGAAGGGAAGGAAAAGGGAAGGGAAGGGAAGGGAAGGGAAGGGAAGAGAAGGAAAGGAAAGGAAGCCTCTGTGATGTATTGCACACACAAGTGGAATATTTAGAGTATTTCTTCAGCTAGTTATGTCTAAAGAAGACATAGTCTCCATTGTGGGTGGTAACATTAATCTTAGCATTGCTTGCTTAGTTGGCTGGCAGATCAATTCTCTAAGTCTAAGAGGTCGATGGGAAAAGCTGGCTTGGCAATTGAGCTCTGCAGTGCTTGCAAAACCTCAGAGAAGAGGCATTCACTGGCTCCAGTTTTTGGCTCCAAGTTTTTAACCAATATTTTCATTTCTGCTGTCTTTAGAAATACTGTATCTTCCCTTCCTTCTGTCCCAAAGTAAATGGATGGCTGTGTACCTTTCAGCTAATTTCCCCAAAATTTTTCAGGAGCAAATATTGGCAAGACAGCTTTCGGATGCCTAGAAAATGAGTTTGTTCTTTGGTTTATAGGCAAGGATACACAGATTTAAAATGTAACCTTTAATATCCAATACTTTCATCCTTGAATTGTTCTTGTTTTATGTAACAACGAAAAGGCAGATATTAACTTGATGAATTGGACAGATGGCCCGCGTCATTTTTAAGCGTATGGGAAGATTTCAACACATTGGTCTGAGTTGCCGTCTGGCGTTATTTTAAATCAGGAGAACCTAAGTTCTGAAATGGGATGGCCAATGTTTATTTAGACACAACAACCATTTTCGAAATATTAAAAACGTTTATAAAAATTGAATATCAGTTAGGAATGGAAGATGCTGGTCCTACAGGGCATGGTTTTCTTGGGAAAATAGTCTGAGTTTATTGGCTTTGAGTTCCAGCATGGCCAAAAGCTATGGGGGTATGGGTGTACAGCTAGTCCTTGATTTACAACAGTTTATTTAGTGACTGTTCAAAGTTACAACAGCACCGAAAAAAAGTGATTTAGGACCATTTTTGACACTTAGGACCATTGCAGCATCCCCGGGATCAAAATTCTAATGTTTGGCAACTGATTCATATTTATGACGGTTGCATTGTCCTGGGATCATGTCATCACCTTTTGCAATGGCGAAGTCAGATTTACTTAACAACCGTGTAGCTAACTTAACAACTGCAGTGATTCATTTAACAACTGTGGCAAGGGAGGTTGTAGAATGGGGCAACACTCACTTAACAAAATGACATTTGTTAAGCAAGAGAAATTTTGGGCTCAGTTGTGCTCGTAAGCCAAGGACTACCACTATTATGGGAACTGGTCCAACCGACCTGAAGAATATCAGGATTAAGAGTTAAGATTCAAGACTCAAGAGCAGCCCATCCTTTGATTAAATCCCTCATCACGTCTCATGTTTCTAAGGCAAAATTGTAGAATAAACCCACCAAGAGTAATTGGGTCACCCAACATCTGAACATCAGGCGAGCAACTTTATCTTCCTACTCCAGACTGAAGCTGGTCTGGATCGATAGCAGCTCAGCCAAAATCAGAGTTTAATGAAGGACATCGCCTTCACTGTTTATGCACGCTTAAACTGCATGACCTGTTCCCTGGCTCAACCGTCTAATTATTCGGGAACTGCGGAAAGGAAGAACAGAAACATCTCCCATTTCTTTCACAGTGAGGAGAGCTGGAACAGCAGAGAAAACAGTGGCAGGAATGAAGACAAATATACGTGTCCCAG